TAAAATCTGCATACAATAGACAGAAGCCAAATTAATAAAGATTTTATGAGAATGGTAATCTTGATTAATGTGACAACTTTTCCAAGAAACCTTATATATTGTCTCATCATCTCTCTCATTTCTGAAAGACAGTTATTATGTGGCTACCTAGAGTTATACCATGTAAGGGAGAGAGAAAGGCACAGGTCCAAGAAAGGTGCAGGAACCAGCTGTAGAAGAGAATTCTAGCACTAAGAAAAAATCAGATCTATTGCTCCTCCTAAACTTATCTGATTCTCATTAATAAAAGTGATTAGTATTAACAGCTTCACTAATATTTAACACTGTAAGAGTTTGCTAGTCAACACTTCCAGGTAGCTAAGCAAAATGATCAGCATTTTTTCAATCTTTTCCCACCTCCCTCCCTACCAAACTCTCCACACCCCAAACACACACTCCCCAAGACCTTGAACCAGGGACAAATCCTCCCCAGTGCTCTAAATCAGTGGCTCCCAAAGTGTGGTCCCCAGACCATCAGCATCTACATCACTTAGAAATGCAGATTCTTGGGACTTACACCAGACCAATTCTATGAATACTCTGGATATGAGGACTGCCAATAGGGGTTTAACAAACTCTTCAGGTGGTGCTGAAGCATGCTAAAGATTCAGAACCACTGCTCCATCTAAACTTGTCGTCTTAACAGAATCTATTCTAGTCGGAATCCGAGTTGAAAGTGGCATACATAAGTTGGAGGGGTATAGACGGAGGGGTATAGACAGGGGAGTAATTCGGATAACCTTGCCCTCTTCCAAGCCACTGCTCTGAACTATTATATCTCAAGCAAATCATTAAATTAGCACCTTTGCCACATAAACACACAAAAAGGATCATATTTGGCTGTTCCTCTGAATCCTCGCCTAAACAACCAAATAAATAACTTTGTTTTGGAAACTCACTGTTTCATCAATCTTTTCCGGAAGCATGTCACCCAAATCAAAGAAGAAAAGGACAAGAGCCAGAAGAGATTTACAAACCAGATTGTATATAGGAATCAGAAATATGTGTGTGGCATTTTAGCTAACCTGGGAAGAAGCTGCTACATAACAGGCCCCTAACAATGTTCTATTGGAGATATTTTGCACGTGACATTCAATAAGACACGCTGTCAGAATAAACCACTGTTTTCTATTTAGAGTTCTGGCCCATAAATAAACTCATTCTACCGCAATCCTGTGTGAGTGGGGAAAATAAAAGAAAATGTCACCTAGTACCAAAAAGGTGAAATACAAGGATACCCTAAAGTAAGTTACTTCTCAGCAGGTGGTCATTCATTCACCCCAAGCTACAACTAGTAGGCCCTTTTCATCTAAAATCCAGGGTATACAAATGTCTTAGGATTCTTCTTGATCCAAAGAAATTTTGTTTTTTTTTTTAATTTGATTTTATAAAAAAGAAAAAGAACCAATTTCAAGTGCATAGTCATAATTTCCATATCACTGTTCTCTGGCCATAAGGAAAAGAAAGCTTTGTGGAATCACATTTTCAAGCAGTTTCACACAATCAAAAACAATTTCATTTTCAAAGTACCCATTTGGCAGGTACATACTGTTGCTACAAAAATTAATTACATTCTATACTAAGTTTGAAAATCATTGTTATTCTTTAGCATACATGTAGCAATTCATAAAATCCTTTGCAGTTGTATCTACTAGATACAATCAAAGGGGTGAAGAGATACAACACAGAAAAGGATGATATTTGAATGTGTACAAATTAAATAGAATATGTAAATATTATGTAATACAATGACACATAAACTGCCCCTCACCTCATACCTCTATAATAAGCCAATAAAGGACCCAGGGACAAGTTAAAACAAAGATCTCATGGCCTATGAAATAAACTGCGTCTTGTACTCTTAATCTAAATTACATGTTTAGCATAAAAAATAACAAAGGTAACTTACATATAACAGATATATAAGTGAATCTGGTTGTTCATGTCATAAAATTTGGAGGTATGGGTTATGATTTGCACTGCTTGGGATCACAAAACTAATTATAAATGTAGTTTCAGAACAGTGTATGTTAATGTGTTCTACACCCCCCTTGATCCATTGATCTACCTTTTTTTCCCTCCTTTGTTGATATAACAAACCTACTAGAAGATGTCTCTATCCAAGATTAATGGTTAACTAACCTTTTTACATACTTGGTATTTTAACTTACATTATCTTACTTAATCCTCATATCAACACTGTGGGGTTAGTATTATTACCACCACTTTATGATATGCAAATGAACTTCAAGGAGGTTAAGTTTATGGTCACACAACAAGTGGTAAAACTATAATTTAAACCTGGATCTCTTAATAGCAATCCACTGCCTCTGAGAAGAAAACTGATCTATGTTCTTTACATAAACATAAACTTCATCATGTCTAATGAAGAGAAAATGTAATGTACAACCACAAAGAATATATTCTATTTCCATACCAATTATGTGCAGTATAACATTGCTAAGTATGTTTAAGGCAGATATGTTCTTGGTTTCCAACTTAGCTGTTCCCAAAGACAGAGTTTGTATTTCTTTACTTTTTCATTTTCATAAAGGAAAAAAAGGAGAAAAAATATTGAACTCAGATACTCTCTTTGCCACTGTAATTAAATAGTAGCCCCAAATCAAAGCTCTGTGACAAAGAAAAAAGGATGCTAACGGCAATAGCCATATAATTATAAAAGAATACTGCATGCTTCTGATTGTCTTAATTCATAGCCATAGCCACGTGTTAGTAATATTCCACAAAACACACGCAGCTAATTCTCCATTACTTCCATATTGGTTTTCCAGATTTCAAGTTACTTCAACTACAATTTCTTCCCATTTCACCCACTAAAAACAGGAATACAATGGGACAAAGAGAATAAATCACTCAGGATACTTATGATGAGTTTGACTGAGAAAGTCTAAAAGGAATGGCTAAAAGATACACTGGATTTTTGTCAGACCAGTTTCCGAGTTTTCCACGGTAATACGTTCTCAAGAGCTGTCC